TTTGATTCTGTTGCTGCATGATAAAATGCTCTAAATCCATCTGCAGCATTCTGAATCATTCTTCCCTTTCCTTTGTGTGATCGGATTAAATTCGCTTCTGCAAATCTTATTTCTGGTTTTCGTTTGCTCGTGATTTGATGATAAGTTGGTTTATTTTTCTGCTCTACTTGAGGTCTCTTCCTGATGTGCATTTCCCAGAGTAATCATAATCTGGTTATCTCCAAATAGCATTAATCAGCAATAATCTCCTTCCTGATTGAATGCTTTTGCCTGATTAGTATCTGATTAAGGATCTCAAATCATTACAACTTCAATTCTGAAGGCTCTTTCATTGGATATAATGATTTTCCTTAGTTTTGCAAATTAATCTGACATATTGCCTTCTCTTATTACTTAGTTTCTTTCCGATCTCCTAATCTTTCTAGGAATTTTTCTGACTGTATAGGATTGAAAGGCCTGTAGACTTTTATGGTCTTAATTATCATTACCAGTTTCTTATAGTTTTCTTGTGTAGGTCTTATCAGTTTACTCTGTTAGAAGCGTGAATTCTAGCTTTTAGGTGGTTAACCGGCCTAAAACTCTGATACAAAGCAACTCTAAAGTCTTTTACAGTAATCTTCCTTCTTCGTTTAAAGAAAGAACAATTTTATAGTCCTAATTATGTTGTTGCATTGCAATATTTTCGAATGTAAGTATGATACAGATTTATTATTTAATCTATAATATTACTAGTTAGATGCATTCAAATTTAATGTTTTATTTTCTTTATTTTATTCTTTGCAAATTTATATCCAAATTTCACAGTTACTCTGTTAAATGGTTAATTGTTTTCCGTTAAATTATATTATTTAGTTTTTAATTGTTTTGTATCTTATATTTGTAATTAATTATTATGTATTTTAGTATTTTATGAATCATATCTTACCATGTAAAATGTTCTATTAGAATAACTAGATAACCGTAGTAGTGGAAATTTTTGAAGGACTAATAAGGAATATTATCTTTTGTGGGTTATATTTGAAGTATATAAGTGGGAGATGAGTATTTAAGTCGTACAAAAATTGCCCTAATTTGAGCTTTTGTGTTGTAGATAATATAACTCTAGTCTCTAGACGGGGGAGTACATGTATTTTTGGTTCACTAGAGCTCTTTTAGGCATATTGATATAATAGATGAAACTAATCATTTCATGATTTTTTTTCTATTTTATTAGCATTTATCCGACTTAGGTATATAAATGTTTCCAATAGACTGAATAAGAGTCCAGTCTTATAACACTAGACTTTCATGATTTACGTCGTTACTACTATTCTTCTTCATTGCTCATCAAATATCGATATGATCCAACAGAGGCAATACTCAAGTTTGAGCCGAAACTTCTTCTTTCTGTTATTTTCCGTTATATAGAAGCCGATGATAATTTTTATCTGCTGGTAATGGTATTATGTCATGTTCATCCATTTATCATCACATGTGATTTTTTTATTTTTTTTTATTTTTTTCCCAAAATGCTTCTAACACTTGTTTTGCATCCTCCTCGAGCTTGTTTTTAATCCATTGTTGGTTGAGCTCGGCTTTGAATAAACAGAAAACTTTTTATTTCCTTCTTATCGGAATTGACTCATTGACTTGAACCAGCGATTCAGTTATTCATCTATCTTCTGTAAGGAATAATCTCAGGCACTACCCTTTGAGGTTTAAGTTAAAAACCTCTTGTGACTATTGGCTTGTTCAAACTCTCTGCTAATATATCGTTTTCATGCTTTCGTGCCTAGCTGTTTCGTCTATGTTTATAGTTTTTCTTTTTCTTTTTCTTTTTTCGGACCTTCCATTTGGTTCTCTTACACGCACTGGCTCGTGTTTTACCCCCCACCTTGTCCAGTTTGTGGCACTTTGCAGTTTTTAGAGTTTATTGTGTCGAAACTTGGACTGACGATGTTTTTATTGCAGCATTTACGACTCGTGAAAAAATTATTCAGTGTTAGATATTGTTCTTATTAATCGATGATTAGTGGTTTCGTGAATGCAACGTATTATTTATTTTTATTTTTATTTTTTCCTAGAAGGCCTTATAATTAGATGTTTCTTTGGGTAACTCTTGTTTATTTATAGCTCTGTGTGTTGTTTGGTTATATATTGATGTAGCATATGATTGATTGAAGGGTTATTACATAAACTGAAACCCTTTTAAGGTTTTCAGGATGTAAGGGGGAAAATTTTACATTCAAAAATGGACATCTTTTTGTCATTGTAATAGTTATGTGAATGCAGAGGTTTTTGTTCATATTATTCTTTTTTTTCTTTCACAAATTGATATTATATTTGATAATAGAAACAACCAAAAAGTTTATTCATATTTTCTTCAATATATCATATCTTTTTTAATTGTGATATAATGTAACTGATTCCTTTATACTATCGGTTACACGACGGTAATTGTTGATTTTGGGAAACGTTACAGTCCGACGGTTACACGATGATCTAACGGTTACAAACTCTAACAGAATGGTTCCGTAACGGGACCGCAACATTTTCCGTTGTTTTTATCAAAATCTTAATATATGTAATCTACCATTTTATCACCTTAATGGATTTTATTAATTAAATATGTTACCTAACTTAATATAATTATTTTATTAGGACACATTAGAGGATGGATTAGAGAAAATAACAATATAGGATCAATAAATGGAAAATTATTTGTTGGGAATTGTGATCTTACGTCATCAGTCACCACTCCCAAAGCACACCAGTCGCCGGCTGGCCGGCCGGTCGGCCGGCCTGCCAGGGGCATAACCGGAAACGAGATAAGACATCTCACTAACACACAAATCAAATGAAGGTTGATATATACATTCAGATAATCCAATTTTATCAACAGTAAAGGGCTTCTTCAATTTTCTTGAAATATAATATAGAAAACAAGAAAAGAAACACCCAAAAGCAAAAGCTCAACAAAACAAGAGTATCCGAGGAGATAAAAAATTAACAGGGTTGTCTTGATTATTTCGTCCCTCGAGCTGTAATTTCATGGCGATCAAGCGAGCTTTGCAGCGTTTCTCGGCCGGAGCTTATAAGGCCGGAAGTTTCAGAGGCTTTAGCGCCGTACCTGAGCGCCGATCTCCGTCGTCTCAGCATCTGATCGATTTGGAATCTCAGTGTAGCGCCCACAAGTAAATTTCCATAAA